CGCAACCCCATGGACAACGTTCCTCCAGGCCTTTCTGTCCTCTACCATCCCCTGGAGTCTATTTAAGCTCACGCTTATTGCTTCAGTGGCTCCATCCAGCTACCTCATTCTCAGTCGTCCCCTTCTTTTGCCCTCAATCTTTCCCAGCATTCGGCTCTTCTCCAGTAAGTCCTTCCTTCTCATTAGTTGGCCAAAGTATTTGAGTTTCATCTTCAGTATCTGGCCTTCTAAAGAGCAGTCAGGGTTGATCTCCTCTAGGACAGTCTAAAATCTTCTCCAGCACCATAGTTCAAAGGCCTCAATTCTATTGCGCTCAGCCTTTCTTATGGTCCAACTTTCACAGCCATACACTGCAACTGGGGAAACCATAGCCTTGACTATACGCACTTTTGTTGGCAGGCTGATGTCAGGGTGCCAACCTTGCCAAGCTCTCGGTGTACATACAACAATAATCTACAAAGGAAATCTACTTGTTTCAAATGACAACCACAGAGATCACAGAGCACAACGGTATCCGCGTTTGGATGAACTCAACGTCCATATCCCAGTCTTTGTGACCGACTAGCAGCTCTTTGGTTCTCAACTTACGCGGGGCTTTTGTGTCCCTTCTATATCGGTTCTCCTGGAATCCCAACCGCTTGTCAGGCGAAACTGCCGCCGAGTTTCTAAAAAAAACTCGTGGTTTTCGGGGATGACCGGGTAGGAGACCGCTTGCAACGGGATAATGGCATCCCTAAAAATAAGCCGGCCTGCTGCATAATTGCCCCACCGATTTAACAAAAAGCGTTCTGGCCCTTTAACAAATCTGTTATTTCCGCGTCTGCCCAGAACGATTGTTTTATCGCTAGGCAACGGTCGAACACCAACAAAACCCGCCCTTCCAAAATAAGCTACACGCGATTGGCTGAGACAACCTGCCAATTTACCCCATCCTCGCTAAGCGATTGCTCGGTTTGGTTTCCTACCCGTTTCTTCCTTTAGGAGCCACGACTACCTTTCACGCTCAACTCACTTTGACGGGCTTAGGCAAAATGGCGCCAGTCCGAGTAACGGTCATATTTCGTGAGGATAAAACCGTTGCTAAGGGCGCCTTCTGATTCTCGACGGGTCGCGACCTTGCCCAAGAGCCAGCCGTTGACCACAACCGCGAAGCCATCTCCTCTAGGCAGCTCCTCCCCTAGGAGTCGGACGCTTTCTCGATAACCGGAACTCGCCAAAGAGTGGGCGGTGCTTTTTCAAACCTCGCGTGATAGCAATAGGCGGAAGGGGAGATTTTTTTAATCGCGCGTTTCCGAAAAGTTTGAATTAGATGTTTGTGTGTTTCTCCGTTTAAATGCCATGTTAACATTCTTCTGGAGCGGCATTGAAAGTTGCCAATAAAAATAGAATTTAATAGTTGAGTAACGGAGTTGTGTCTTCTTTGTATCTCTGCTGGCCTCTTGTGGTTCGTTGGAGTCTTGTAACCTGGGTTTCCCAGGCTTATTTCTCAGTATCTTCCCTTCATCTTTATGTGAATTGGGCGGGGGGTGGGGACAGAATGATCAAAGTCTTGGTCTGATCAGGGGTCCCCAAACTTGGCAACTTTAAGACTTGTGGACTTCAACTCCCAGAATTCTCCAGCCAGCGGAGTTGAAGTCCACAAGTCTTAAAGTTGCCAAGTTTGAAAACCTCTGGCCTGCATTCAAGTCACCTTTATCTGATTGTTGCCTTTGTAAATTATCTTACCTCTGCCTTCCAAGGCCATCCTCTATAAAATTTAAACAGCATAGGAAAAAAAAACAAGAGTGTGGCTTCTGGATTTCTGATAATAGTGATGGGAAGGTAGATGGAGCAGGGCTAAGAATAGAGACCTCAGCAAAGTTGATTCCAGGTATTTTGTTTGCAACTTCTGGCCAGATCCAGTCCAAATTAACCCCCGTAGTACAAAGAAAAGACATGCTTTCCACTTTAAAGTCAGCCAACCCTTCTAATTCTTCAAGATGCACTTTCACCCTGTTTTGTTCCCCCAAATCCCCTTTGAAAATTTCGAAGCCTACTTTGCTGCCAATTCTGCTGCAAGCATTCTGTATCTGTCCAATAAATAGATGGTTCCATGACTGGACATTCAACCAATGCTCACTTCACGTGCTTCATATTACATACCACAGCAGCCCCCAACCTTTTGGTCCCAGGGACTGGTTCCACGGAGAGAGGTTTTTCTATGCACTGGAGGGGGTCGTGGTTTCACGCACTGTCTGCATCCCACAGATGGGGCTTCATTTGTTTGCGCAGACCAGTTCCTGGTATGCCATGGACTGGAGGTTGGAGACTTCTGCTGTACTCCCACTATGATGGGAGGTTGAAGCCAGCAAGGCCCTTTTTCTCTGCATAAAGAATTTGTGAAATCCTAGCTATTAGATAGCTCCTGAACCTCCCAGTGATAGTGGTGAGTCATGAGCCAAGGTGGCGCAGTGGTTAAATGCAGCACTGCAGGCTACTGCTAGATCAGCAGTTCGGCTGTTCAAATCTCACCGGCTCAGGGTTGACTCAGCCTTCCATCCTTCCGAGGTGGGTAAAATGAGGACCCAGACTGTTGTTGGGGGCAATATGCTGACTCTCTGTAAACCGCTTAGAGAGGCCTGAAAGGCCTATGAAGCGGTATATAAGTCTACTGCTATTGCTATTGCTATTGCTATTGGTGGTGGTGGTGGAGGGAGTATTTAGAAAAAAGGCAAGCAGAAGTTCCTTCTCAGTGAAGAGTTCCTTCTCAAGAGCTCCAGCATCCCTACTATAAAAAAAATCCATTAAAGCAATTCTTCTTATACTGTAACTGAGCTGGAGAAGTCAATTCAATCATCAAGTTTAGATAATGGCATAGGGATGTGCAGAAGTTGAACTGATAAGAGCAGCACAAACAGCATGCAGAAGCACCCTCCCATTCCAAGCAACAAGATAAAAAACAGAAACTGATAACTTCACCAAAAAATATATCAATAATGAATAAAACTGCAATTTTGGGAATCACGACAAAATGTGATGGCCTCCCAAGATAAGACTTTGCAAAGATAAATTGTTAGGGATTGCCACATGACAATCTATATGCTATTTCTAAATGGCACTTGCTTGGGAACAATAGCAGAGAGGCATTGGTGACCTCTCTTTTTCTTATGGGCCACAGACTGTTGGTTCTCTTTATTATTTTACAAGTTTATAATTTTGATAAACCTACTCTAAAGTAAAAACAATTTTCTCAATACTTTAAAAACCAACACATTTTATTATTTCATATTTTTGTGTAAATAAAGTAATACATGATTCATGAAAATCTGTGCAATTCGTAAATTTGTTTCCAATGTCACATAATTTTCTTTGGCTTAAGATAGACTCCCTTCTGGAAAGTATAAAGTAAGTGTACACTGCTTTTAAAAATTAATCATTAAGTTTGAGCCACAAATTATGAAATAGTATTGTACTATTTAGGTAAAATGCAATTTATAAAACACATTTTATTTAAAATAACATACAATGTATATGTAATATAACATTACCGGAATGTTATAGGAGGTTATTAGCTTTATTATACAAGTTAGCATGATTTTTTTAAACTACTAATAACAGTGTTATTGTGATCAAAACTACTGGCGGAAAAATCTGGAACCAGGTATACGTCAATCACAATGTAATTCATACAATTCCCCAAACTTAATTTGCCTAGCATGTATCATAGCAATTTAGTTTTATCATACTGAGCCGTCAAGTTAATTATTTTCCTTTCTGAAATAATAATCTTAATTAGATTATTGCAAATGACCAATAAACTACCTGTAAGTATATAACTATTGGCTATTACTAATGCTGTATTAATCTGCAAGGGAATAAATAATTGTTTTAATTCAATAGTTATGTTATATATCAGAAAGCAGTAGAATAATAGATAAGATTATGAATGCTGAACATGAAATTAAACTCCTATTCACATGAAATTATGTAAGATTGCTTTGGATGAATTTTTGCCAATAATCTGTAGCAATATTATGAATGGAACTAAAACAAAGTATCAAAAGCAACAAATATAGCTTTAGTCCAGTCTTAGGAAACTATTGTATAAAAGTGATACCGAGGATGATTAAATTATCACACATTACATTAACAATTTGAGAGCAGCTGCTGTTATTGTGTTGCTTGGGTAACCTTATTTGTGCTTTTTCTGCCTTTTGTGTTAGTATACGTAGTCCTTGACTTATGACCACAATTGACCCAAAATTTTGGTTAAGCAAGACAGTTGTTAAATTAGTTTTGCCCTATTGTACAACCTTGTTTGCCACAGTTAAGTGAATCATTGCAGTTGTTAAGTTAGTAATGTGTTTGTTAAGTGAATCTTGCTTCCCCATTGACTTTGCTTATCACAAAAGGTGAACATGTGACCCCGGATCCTGGAACCGTCATAAATATGAGTCAGTTGCCAAGTGTCTGAATTTTGATAATGTAGCCATTGGGGATACTGCAATGGGGTTGGTGTGAAAAACAGTCATATGTCATTTTTTTCAGCGCCAACAAACTGTTTAAATTCAATGTCTATATATGAAGATTCAGTTCCAAAAGATAGAAAAAACACAAGTAAGGTCAGCTGAAGGCATACCCAGAGTTGCATTTGACTCCACAAGATGGAAGTTCTTGAATAAAAATATATATACATTGACTATAAATTCTTGAGATGCTCTTAGGGAAGCAACTTTTCACAGCTTTGTCCTCATCTGCATGAAAATCTAAAGTATATGAAATGCCTATAATTAAAATATAATGTGTAAATTGTATGATCTGTTTTTTCTACACTACTATACTGTTCCAGCATCTGTCAAAATAGCTGCAATATACAGATGAAATACACTTAGTAATATTACATGGAGCAAAAAGGAAGAAATGACACGTGGGTTCTTCTCTTGCATCAAGTAGATTTTCTGAAATAAAGGTCTGGAACTCTCTTTTGAGCTGATACAACAATTTCTTAGAAATATCTTCTTGAATTCTGAATGGTGTATAATTACAAATATAGTGTTTTTAAAATTCTTGGCAATAACATGTAGTAGCAATAAATAATAGAAAGCAGATTTTAATTAATCATCCAGTCTGGAAGATGCAATAATGGTGTTCCTTAGATTTTATAAACTAGGAGTAAAACCTGCAAGTAAAATAAGGACTCCTGCCTTGGGCAGGGTGTTGGACTATAAGACCCTCCCTCCACCAAGGTCCTTTCCAGCCATATGATTCTATAAGTGGTTCAAGAGGCCTGCAGAAACCTACCTTAATGTCCATTTCTCTCACTCCTGCAAAATGTATTTTCTTCAGTGTGTTCCTATTTCTACTGTCTTCTTTCTTTCCATCCACTCTCTTCTCACCTTTGCAATTTCCTGACCGTACCAATTATGCAACTTTGAGAAGCAGGCAGTCTCTGGAGATACTGGACTTTCCTGTGTGGCAGAGGCAGACCCCGCCAAAAATGTTCCACCTCCAGCACTGCCTGTCAGTTTTCGACGAGGGGGTAAAGGTGGGGGCTTCAGAAATCCTCCACTGAAATCAGAACATGCCATTTCTGCAAGGGTGCAACTATTGTCCCATGTGGAGTAACCATTTTCCAAGACGATAGGATGCTCTTGAATGGATATCATCATGGGATTTGATAAATGCCTTTTGCGGCCAGAAGAGAGTTTCTTTGGTGATTTATGGCTAGCAGCTAAGCTCCTCTGAGCCTCTTCTAGCTGTTTCTCTAGTTCCTTGACTACTAGCCTCATATAATCAAAGCTGGCCAGTGACAGTGCCTTCACCCAAGCCTCCATGGCAACTTGGCAGTCGGCAACCAACACGTACGATTTGCCACCACTGCTATCAAAGCGGATGGCAAAAGCAAATTCCTCAGCAGCTTCGCATAGTTCCACCGTGCAGCCCTCTAACACAATGAGACCCAGAGGGTCACTGCTCTCCCGCTCTTCAAAGTAGAACAGCAAGTTGCCCTTGAGAATGAACCAGCGGCGCTGGTAAGAGGGGACGTGATGGTTGTGGTGATGGCGCTCCATTCTCTTGCGCAGAAAACCAGTATGATCGGCTGGAGAGTCACATGTGGCATAATGTACCACACTACGTTCATTGAGTTTCATTGTAGTAATATCTGCCTTCCAGAACAGAATGAGAAGAAATGTACTGAATTATCACATGATGCATATTATTATAATCTAGATAAAACTGAATATAGAACTATGTATACACATATGCACTACTGCTATAAAATACTTGTCAGGTAATGAGGATTTAATAGCTGCCAGCTTGTGTAAGGTTGTAAATTGTAAACTGTAAGCTGATGCAATGGGGATGATTCAGCAATATATGTATTGCCTCTTTAAGACTCTAATGGGGTCCACACAAGTTATTTACTGCTTTAAAATATACATACATACATACATACATACATACATACATACATACATACATACATACATACATACATTGCTATGAAATACTGATTGCCATTTAGGGTGATTATATGAAGATGCCCATCACAACTGTGCAGGCAAAGGCATGGGTCTTTTTATGTGTACTCCAAACATAATCTATTAAAAAGAGGCAGGGCTTCAATCATGTCATCATGCACACCACTTTTGACACCCCCCTTTCCAGTGGATGCTCCCATCTGCTGTTTAACCTTCCTTTCTAAGGATATTATTGTGGATATTTATAAAGTAACAAACTCTATGAAGCTAGACCATATAACCTCTGATGCTAAACAATAAAAAGGCATTTTCATTGCTTCATTGTTTAATAACATGAACAATTCTTGATCTTTGTAAGTTGGTTATTCTACATTTATTTGCAAACAAATCGCTACCCTGCAGTGTAAATGACCATGGATTTTCATTAAGAGTTTTGAATCCCCCAGCTCCAAAAGTTGGAGTGTTTCCATCTTTTCTCCTGGGATGGGTTGGCATTGCCACATTCAGACTAGACTACATCTCAGGGTTTTCCTGGACTAACAGATTCCGAAAATGTGAGTTGTGTCTATTCCTGGACTGTGAAGACCTTTTCATGGTCATTCATACCTTAATAACCTCATGATGAGACTCTGTAACACATTTTACATGGGGTGCTTTGAAGAACATCTAGAAGCTTAGTTGAGAATGCAGCAGTGGGTATTGGGGCACAGCTGGTTGCACCCATTTAAAATTGCTACTTCATGAACTGCACAGGCACCCAATAGGCTTCTTCTAGGTGGGATTCAAGGTATGGGGGGGGGTCCCCAACCACTTGGACTAGTCCAGACCTGTTAGGAACCAGGCTGCACAGCTGGAGGTGAGCAGCAGGCAAATGATCTCTCTTCCAGGCTCATGGAAAAGTTGTCTTGCATGAAATTGGTCCCTGGTGCCAAAAAGATTGGGGAACACTGGGTTATCACTTTTAAAGTCCTGCATGGCATAATACCAGGCTAAATGTGGGGCCACTTTCTCCCACAAACATTTGCCTGGCCCTGAAGACATACCCCAAATACATGTTACTCCTCATACTCTTTTAAACTTTACCATCTCGTAGAAAGCAGGGAAGCATGCCTTTTTTGGTGGTTTCCCCTATGCTCTCCCTCTCAATACATGGCAGCCCCCAATTCTGCTCTTAGGCTACCAAGACCTGTCTTTACCCTTGGATATTTGGATCCAGCAGCAGCCCCTTTTAATTGCTTTTTATAACAGTACTGGGCTTGATTACCATTTTATATCTAATATTTAATAGAACCCAGTTTGAAAAAATTGGACTCACCTATTCAGTGGTGGGTTTCAAAAATTGTTCGAACCTACTCTATGGGTGTGGCCTCCTTTATGGGAATGGCTTGCCACCCATGTGACCGGATGGGAGTGCCTTGCCGCCCATATGACTGGATATGAAGATGCTAACGACACTTGTCAGAGCCACCTTAAATTACCTCACACTGGCATGCATAAGAATATGATGTAAACTTGTTTTTTAAAAGGGTTTGCGTTAAAACAACTTCAACACACGCAATGTTCTGATTGCACCACAAACGCAGTAGTTATCCTTAACTTTCACAGAGGCACTGAGTTTTATAAATATGAGCATGATAGTGTAGAATAATCATATCCAAGGACCAGTGGTGGGTTTCAAAAATTTTTGGAACCTCTTCCGTAGGTGTGGCCTGCTTTCCGGGTCCACTGGTGGAACCTCTTCTAACTGGTTTGGTAGATTTGACGAACCGGTTCTACCGAATAGGTGCGAACTGGTAGGAACCCACCTCTGCACCTATTGCCCAAATCAGAATGACTATGGAACACAAAACCTAAGGAATAGCCAGGAGAGGTGTGCCCGCACCAGTCTTAAGTGGCCAGTAAGTGCCAGGCTGATCTCGCTCCTGACTATACCACAAAAGGAACAACTGGGGAAGCATGTGGGATTCTACCTATCTGTGTCAGGAAAAAGTGGAAACACCAAGGATCCCTTGAAGGCAGCCTGAGCTATGAACTGGGAATTAGATGAAGGCACCTTTCTGAGGATACAAAAGAGGTTGTTGCAGTTTTATATATGGCACAAGCTCCAAGTATAAGTGTCACAGTGTTGTAAGCAAGAAGGCTGCAAGTTTAATTCCTGGCATCTCCAGGTAAAAGGTAGGAAGACGAACCCACCCCCTGGCTGGCTCTAGAACAGCCCTCTCCAACTTGGGCTGACTGTCCTGATAAGTGGAGCCTGCATTTTAGATAAGTGCCTGAGGAAGGCCAAAGAGATGGTTTCTCCAAGCAGAGTCGCGGAGTGCATTTCCTCATCTCAGGCAGACCCGGAACATTCCGAGACTAAAAGTTACCCTCGGAATTTCTTTTTCTCTCAGATAGGAAATCCTTTTCACAAGCTTTTAATGAAACAGAGGAAAAGGCAGGCTAGCTAGTTCAGGAATGAGTGGAAGTGGAGTGAGGAGGACACTCCGTACTAACGGAATCGGAATCGGAAACCTTTTTAAATTCGGGGTCAGGCCCATCCTAAAAATCTGAAGCGACGCTTATCCATAATCGTACCTTGTTCACCCAACTACCGAGAACGACGTTAGCTTCGGCTTTATCCGCTCCCTGCTTTTCTTAAGCAGTCGCGGGTCCTCTTTCTTCCGCTGGACTCCCCTGTTTCGGTGCCCTGGTCCTCGGGCAAAACCCGGAGCGTAGGATCATCAGAGCAGAAGCAAATCTTGCCACTATCCGGGGTGAGTTTTTTCGCAATCCAGATTTTCCAATCGCTTCCCGAGGGGAGGTTTCCTTCTTTTTAGACCCCCCTTCTCGTGGGGTCCTGAAAGCCAAGTAGGAAAGCAGCAGGCCGTATGTCAACAAGTAAAGGCTGCTCCATCGTTGTTCTGTCCTGGGCGGTTAATATCGTCTTCCATTTAACATAACTTGGGTGGGGAAATCTCCAAGTCAGCCGAAGGGTTCTCTTCGCAGCCCGAGGAATGTTGCTTTTATTTGGAGAACCTGTATTTGAGACAGAAGTGATATTTTGATTTTGATTTTTCTATGCACTCCCACTTTTCCTCCAAAAACACACGGTCGTGGATATATAGTCCCTCCCTCTCTCCTTTTGTTTTCCCGACAACACGGAGGAGATCGGTGGGGAGGCGATTTCAAGTCACCTGCGAAGACTGGTCACTGACTGGCATTTGAATTTCGTCTTCCCCAGTCCTCGCCCAACCCCCCTCCGCCCCCAGTGTAACTCCTTGTCTACCACAACGCATCACCTGAAAGAGGCGAGCGGGGTAACTCTCCGTTGTGATTACTCGTATTACCCGAGCAGAACCCAATCGTTCTTTTAAGTGCATTCGTTTTATTTTCGGCCACGAGGGGGCATCGCGAGGCCACGAGTACATCTGAACCAGACGGAAGTCGGGAAACAAACAGGATCCGCAAGCAATTGCTAAGGAGGCGGATTGCTTTAGCTGGGCGTCGTGAGTCGGTCGTATGCTTGAAGAACGCTGGCCCTGGAAAGTACATGTTAAAAATATCAATAGCACTTAGACTTATATACCGCTTCATAGTGCTTTTTACAGGCCTTTCTAAGCTGTTCATGAAGTCGACTTTCTGAGCCCGAGAATTATAGTTAATAAACTGCATACCTGTTCAGAAAGGAGTTGCTGCAGGAGGATTTGAAAAAGAAGACGAAAAAAGTGGACTGAAATTAGGCGCTGCTCTTTTTGTTTCTTCTCTGCCTCTCTTTCCAATCTCTGAAATTAACTCAGGAGAAACGGAGAAGACAACCTGTACTGGCCCAAGAATTGGTGCAACACAAGAGGAGATATCTCCTAGTTCTCCCCCACCCCATATTCCACAGAGAAGTTCCAGTGCCTTAACACAGGATTTGTTTCCACTGATGGGAGCAGACTAGTTTGTGGATACAACATAAACTGTGTGACATATTCTGTCCTGTCTTAAGACATATTTTGGATCTCTCAAGGCTCTGCCTACCGTCTGCTTACTGCTCAAACACATTCTGCAGTTGAATTATATCTTGTCTTTTAATGTACACTGAGAGCATATGCACCAAAGACAAATTCCTTGTGTGTCCAATCACACTTGGGCAATAAAGAATTCTATTCTATTCTATCACAGAGCACCAACCATCCATGGACACACAGGAAAGCCCATTTAAGCTATCAGTCGCTTTATTTAAGCTGGAGTCTTTGCCACCACTGTTGATATTACCATGCTGTTAAAAAAAAAACCAGCATTTTTGGAGCTGGAATAACACTTGGGAGCAATTCGAGATTGAAGAGACAATTAGTGGTGGTAGGAAACCTGCACTTGCCTGAAACACAAATTTCAGGGTGCCTAGTAGTAAGTGGGAAGGCCAGCCTAATTATACAGACATCGTTCATCTTTTCATTCTATATTCTCACCTGTTGTTGCTGATATTTATTAGAAAGTGGGAGGGGGGAGAGGATGGGTGAGTTTAAAACAGTGCAGTAAAGGGACAAAAGAGATCTGAAGAGAGGCTTCCCTGAATTCTGTAGCTAACCTGTCTCCACTGGATATCCACACTTGCATTTCTGGTTTTATGCTATGTGATTTCCTGAGGCATAGACATAAAATCAACTTGAAACCACTTCTACTAGTTTGTTGTGTAAAACTTGGACCACTTCAGCTCATAAATGTGCCACCAGAAGAATGTCCTGTATTGTGAGGAGACACCCAAGCAAATTATTCCACCTACAACTTTTGAAGGAAGGCTCCTAATGTCTCTCTTTTTATCCATTGGAACAGAGGTCCTCCAAACTTGGCAACTTCAAGACTTGCGGACTTCAACTCCCAGAATTCTCCAGCCACCTATTCTGGGAGTTGAAGTCCGCAAGTCTTAAAGTTGCCAAGTTTGAAGAGCTCTGCGTTAGACTAATAAACGGGATGCATCTCTGCTAAGGGACATGAACGGGACGGCGCTACTCTGAACCTTGGGCGATCCAATAAATAAATAAATAAATAAATAAATAATAAACAAACAAACAAACAAACAAACAAACAAACAAACCCTCTCTTGGAGAAACGGTGCATGAACTTCAGTTACTTTCCACCAGCACCGAGTGAAAAGGGCTAAGCTCAACCGACGCTCGCGTACATGGGCCACAGCAGGAAGCGTCTGCTGCTTCCTCTTTTCCTCGGGACAAAAGCGAGGGCGGTGGTGGAGTTGACGGGGCGCTGAGATCAGCAACTTATCGGCTGTAACTAGGGAGCGATCCAAGGGATCAGCTGATCGGTGGAAGGCCGGAAGTGAGCACGTGATTAGCTGCCCTTGTGCCAGGGAAGCGACCGACTTGCAGGCTTTCGGTTGCGGCTGATGCAGCGCTGGTTGCAGCTTAATGTCTGATAGCGTAAGTGTCCCGATCTGTCTTGAAGTTTGGATGGCGGTCGGGATGGAGAATAGTCTTTTTCTCTCTCTTTTGTCTGATCAAAGATTGCATTGTATGAAAATGAACAGAAAAACGAATCATTGTTCCGGAGTACTTACTGATTACGATTACAGTTATAGATTTGAATTAATTTAGGCCGTTTGTGCCATCAATGAAATATGTTTTCATTAAATGATAAATACCGAATTTACACATTTCCCCCAACGTCTTGATGCATCCGGAAAAGAAGGCTTCTTTGGAAACGCGGAAGTTGGCTTGCAGCAGCCACGGGCAAAAGGAAGGGTGGTGGGAAGAAGGGAGGATGGTTTCCTGGGAAATTCGTGGCCACAGCGATAGATTTGACAACAGTTTGCAAAAAAAAAAAAAAAAAAACCATTGCCTTCCTTCATGATTTTTTAAACTTTCAGGTTAGCCCAGTGGTGAAATTCAATTTTTTACTACCGGTTCTGTGGGCATGGCTTGGTGGGTGTGGCAGGGGAAGGATACTGCAAAATCTCCATTCCCATCCCACTCTGGCGCCAGTCAGAAGTGGTATTTGCTGGTTCTCCGAACTACTCAAAATTTCTGCTATCGGTTCTCCAGAACCTGCTGAATTTCAGCCTTGGGTTAGCCCATCTAATGGTTTCCCATCCAGATACTAACCAGGTCCAGCTGGGCCAGGTGTTGCAAGTCTGTTTTATCCCAAACAAGAACATTGTGTGTAATGCATCTTATCTGCACATCCCAGAAAGGTTTCAATTATTCATATGAAGCTACTTAACGCTGAGCACATAAGATTTATCTTAGTGAAAACTATCACATGATTGAAAGAAGTTCTCCAGAGGCCTTGCAAAAGACTTCCTTTGGCTGTGGTATCTGAGATTCTTTCATGGCAGATGTCAGATAGTGAACCTGGGAATTGCTATATGCTAATTACCCTGCCATAAGCCAACTTTCCTGAATTGAAAGTGCTGGGCTGTGTCATTTCATGAAGTCCACAGAGATGTAGAGCACTTAATTTAGTGAGCCTGTGGGTTCAGCATCTTCTTTATGAGTGTAGTGTCATAGATGCTAGTTAGGAATGCTGTGTCTGTAATTTTGCTTCCATCATTGTGTGTGCTTCAGGATCCTGCTCTAACAGCAGCATGAGTCCCAGAATGCAACACTGGGAACTTGTGTGTGCGTGTGTTGTGGTGTGGGAAGGGTAAGTGGGATCCAGAGTCAGTTTCATTTTCAATTGTTGTCATACAAGTTTGCTGAATTCCTCCTGCAAATCGGGTGGGTCATTCTCAGATACTTAAGTCCCAAATAAGAGTGATAAAAGACCATGTGGATTATATATAAGATCTCCAAAGAATAGAGCATTGCACTGATGGCAACTAGTGGCATTATAGTATGAAATGGAACAGTACCAGTTGAAGCACTGTTTTACAAAGTAAATTGAGGCAGAGCTGGCATAGGGTGGTTGGTAGATGGATGTGAGCTTCTACCAGGGCTGTAGTTTATTGTTTGAAAAGATTGTTTTATTGTATTGTGTTTGCATTTGGTTTGCTGCCCAGAGTTATTTTGGATAAGCAGCTATATAAATTTCTTTAACAACTAAATGTATACCAACAGTGCTCTTAAAATCAGTGATAAAATTTAAAATAATATGCAAGAGAGAGTCAATTTGGTGTAGTGGTTAAAGCACCAGGCTAGAAACCAGAGGTTCTAAGTTCTAATCCTACCTTAGGCACGAAACCAACTGGATGACTTTGGGCCAGTTATTGTCTCTTAGAAAAGATCCTAGAATGGCAATGGCAACATATTTCCAAAAATCTTGCCTGCAAGAAAATTTCAGGCACTAGTCCAGGCAGTTACCAAGATCAAAATTCACTCAAAGGAAAGAAAAAAAGGGCGAGGACTTAATGACAACTTATAAAATTTTAGTTTGGTGATATGAATGTTTTGATTGTGTAAGGTATTCCGTTCAGTGGTGGGATTCAGCCAGTTCGCACCACTTCGGGAGAATCGGTTGTTAACTTTCTGAGCAATTTGATGAACTGGTTGTTGGAAGAATTCGTTAGGGCAGAGAACCAGTTGTTAAATTATTTGAATCCCATCACTGGTTCCGTTGTTCAGAAGATGATAACAATAGATTCCAGGTTCAAGGCAAAAAAGGTAACTATGTAATTGAAGATTTCAACATTTCACTGTTGTATATAAGAAAGAAAAAAGGGTGCAGGTGGAACTGAAGGCTTATAAATATTTAACCTCATTAGATATAGGTGAAGAAGGCATTGGAGCAGAATGAAAACAGTAGAAAGTGATATTTCATTATGTTTTTGCCCCAGTCTGCCCATCTCTTTTGCAGTGGTCATCCCTCACATCCACGGTCATGAAATGTGTTATCTTCCTTCTTCTACTCCATGCCTTCTCCCTGGCTTTGGAGAATGGACTTATGAGAACACCCCCAATGGGGTGGCTTGCTTGGGAGCGCTTTCGTTGTAATATTGATTGCAAGGCAGATCCCCATAATTGTATCAGGTGAGTGGAAGAACCTTGGAAAAGGTACAAAATCCAATCTTTTTCCAGATATGTTCCTTGGTTTCAAAATCCTGGGATTCAAGATGAGGGATGGCATGAAACGTAGAACATCTGAAGCTCCAGGAAGGCATCTGCCTCCCCTAAAAGTCCTCATGCTTCTCTGAATTTTGTTGCCAAACTGTAGTTTACCTTATTTTTCGGAGTATAAGACGGACCTTTTTCCCCTCAGAAAAGAGGCTGAAAATCTGGATGTGTCTTACACACTGAATACAGCATTTTTGGCCTCCCAAAACCCACCCCCTTCACCAAAATGGGCGTGCATAGACTTTAGGAGGCTTCCAGAGTGCTCCTGGAGGCTTCCAGAGTGCTCCTGACCATTTTTTGCTTATTTTTACCCCCACCAGCACCAAACCCCAGGAGCACTCTACAAGCCTCCTAAAGGCTATTCATGCCAATTTTTTTGACAAAAAAATGGGCCTGTTTTCACGAAAAATGGGCCGGTTTTGGGAGGTTTGCAGAGTGCAAAAACTTTTTTTTTAATTTGCCTCTTCAAAATCTTGGTGCGTCTTATACTCTAGTGTGTCTTATACTCCGAAAAATATGGCAATTTTCTCATTGTGCAGTTGAGAAAAGAGTGCTAAATCGTTTTGCTTATCTAAAAATATTAATGAAAATTAAAACATATGAGGAAATCACTAATTACCTTGTACCGCAGTATACAAACATGTAGTTGTTTGACAAGAACCAATAAAAGAGGCCAGCCTACAAGCTTTTAGTTTATTCTCATAGTGACATTGGTTGAATGAGGCATATTTTTAAGAAAACAGGAGGATCCTGTCCATAAGGAAGAGCATTGATGAAAACATAATATTGTAGGAATCTTAATTTTACTTCCAGATTATTGCAGCGAAATATTAAGTATGAAAGAGTGGTAGTGGGGATCTGACAGAGAAATGAACCTTTTTTATCTATTGTGGAGAATAAACTACTGCTTGACTCTGGCAGATTATGTCAGTGGAGTGTGAAGCCTGACATTGTCCGAATAGTAATTTTTATGGCTGATAGTTCCCAACGGTTATTCCTCATTGTCCACTTGGCTTGTTGTTCTTGTTTCCTTATAAACTGATTTTCCATTTGTGGGACAGTGAGACTCTCTTCATGGAAATGGCGGACCATCTGGCAATGGATGGTTGGAGGGAGCTGGGCTACGAGTACGTCAATATCGATGATTGCTGGATGGCAAAGAAGCGGGATATGACGGGACATCTGATTCCGGATCCTGAGAGGTTTCCCAGAGGGATCAAAGCCTTGGCAGATTATGTAAGTGAATATTTCTAAGGTGAGAGTGAGATCAAGTGATCCAGCTATGATTTTTTTTTTTAAAAAAAAATCAAACGCTTAGACAACATTCCAGAGAAATTCCAGGAGAACTTTATGAATTCTCCAAAAGATCAAGGGCTTGATTCTTAATTGCTGTAGAAGATTTTTCAGCTCTGGCCAATTTACAGCCATAGACCTGGAATTGTACAGTAAGTTGAGCTGATAACTTTTGCTCAAAGTTATCCAGTGAGGAACATCCAGAGGGCCATGTTGTTGGGCAAGAAACTCTGCATCTAAACCACCAGATTATTCTGCCAATTCAAACTCTTATGTTTTCAAACATAGTCCTTGGCAATATATATTTTTGAAAAGCTCATCAGTTTTCTATTGTGCCGTCCAGCTTGGTACCCTCCAGATATTCGGACCGTCAGTACTCCTAGCACATTTCCAGCATAGCGAATGACTGTGCTGAATAAGGATGAGAGGATTTAAAGCCAACATATCTGAAAAGGATTAGATTGGAAAAGAAAGGGTTGGCCATTGAGTAAGAAGCAATAATGAAACATACCTTTTAATTTTTTTCTATCTATCATCTTATGCAATGACTGGTAGAAGAATAATTTGAACTGGCCAATCAGTCAGCAGAAATGTTTGTATCCTTATAAAATGGGGAAAATGCTATCACACAATAAATATTGTTGTATGAATGTTCTATCTAGTTCACATTTGTATCTTTCCATTGGTGGAAACTTACAAATTTACATACTGCAAAAGAAGAGTTCATCCTTGGGGAGTTTGTTTGGGTAACTAGTTATTCATAGTTTTAACATCCTACTCATTAGGTAACTACTTTTCCAGTAACCAATTTCAATTTAAACCAAAATTGTTGAGATAATATGCAAATGATGAGAAAGAGGAG